TGGCGGAGTACCGTAGCCACGGGCATTTCCTGCCCTACATCAACAATGAGGCACTTGAAAGATAGACCACCACCGGTCAGATGGATGCTATTTTATTCCGCTCTCTCACTTAGACGAATTTCTAGTGTTGTTGTATCCTCAGTTGTCTAGATTAGCTTTCATCACCGGATGTTTTCTTCCTTGGGGTGTGTAGTGTTCTGAATATAATAAGCTCTTGTAGGCCAGCCCGCAGGTGCAAGACCGAGTTCAGTTGGTCCATCAGCAATCGCCAAATCTTGGATGTTGTATTGTAGTGCCTGCCTCCAACCTAAGAGCGATGGCTTCCAGCCTAAGAGCGGGGAGCGATACTTCCAAAGAACAGGATCCAGCTTCTGCAAGCCCAGATTTCAGAATTTCTGAAAGACTTACAGATGAAGATCTCGGAATCCCTGACCCAGTTCTGGTCCACTGGCCCCACCACTGAACCCATCCTGAATGGACTAGATTGGTTGAAATTCAGCATCAGAACAGGGGATGTGTGTGTGTTTCTTTGTTTTGTGAGGCCCTCTTTGGGGAATCGGAATCAGCAACGACTTACAAATACAGCTGGTTATATATATATATACTTCGGTCGTTTGATGTTGTTCTGCCCATCTCGTTAGGAGTCCAGTCACGGCGCAGTCACATACCATACCAAATCCAGATGGATCTTGGGTACGGAGGGCCCTGCAGGTGCAGGGACAGCAGAACGCCACTTACAAGAAAAACTTTGAGTCCTTGGAGAAGTTGGTTCTTGTCATGGCAGAGGAGAGTGCATGTGAAACGCCATGGAACATGCCCATGAGATAGAGTGCATGCCACTGAAATACATGTCTTCACGTGATGTGCCATACTTTGGTGAACGCGATTGTTTTCTGCAGGACCACATATATATATACATATATAGTTCCCAAAAGGGCATGGACTGTGCATGAAGGAAAGTTGAGACCTTCCCAAGGTGACTTTCGGAATAATTGGAGGTTTTTGGGTGGAAACCAGTATACTGGCTGGAAGGCTGAGGCTTCCTGAAGGTGCATGAAGGCGTGTATGACCCGACCTGTAATGGATTTATGTTTCTCTTTGATTTCCTCCTTCCTGCGTGAGAACTTGTTTTTGGGACGTTTGACAGAAGACTTGTGAGGTGGTGCAGAGTTTGATCTTCAGCTATAGGTGTGATCTCGCTTGTCCTTTTGGTGTCCATACATCCTGGATCTGAAGTCGGAGAATCCACCGAGTTGCATGGTTTTCGCCTCGGATTCCTGTGATGAGTTGGAAACCATGAGCATTTGTCGAGTGAGGTTGCTGGTGGACGGTCGAAACATCTCTGAGATCTGCCACGGCCGCATGCCCATTTCATCAGCAAGCAGATGATGCAGCTCCCGTGTATTGATTGCCAGTTACTTCATAGTTGATGCAAGCCCAAATCATTTCAAAAGGGAGTTCCGTTCCATGTAGACTCTTGATTGATAACCTCTCCATTTGGATAGTAAAATAAGCTCCCTATATAGGAGTCTTCTTGGGTTTTGTTAATCAAGCGTCTACAAAGATACATGTAAGCCGCCGTCTTTTGAGGCAAGCATTAAAAAAAACTGTAAACTGGTTCTGGTTTGGCAGAAACATCTGCAGGTGTTGCAGGTGCTTTTGATGTGGGTGTGTATTGAAATAGGGAGACCCCGAACCAATGACATTTGTCAATTTCCCTTACTCCTGAGGGTCTTTTTGGGAGGTCTCTCCCTGTTCTAATACACACCCATCTTATAAGTACAAGACAGGGCGTGCACGTGGTTTCATTGATGTTAAGTTTATAACTCATGTTAAGTACTGCTGTCGAGTACCAGTACTGCGTTCCATCATTCCAAGCTGTTTGATTAGCTGATCCTAATCACCCTCAAAAAGAGCGTTTCCGAGAGCAAACATGGCACGCGTGACCGGCGAGGACGATACGATGGTGCATCCCAAAGAGAGTGAGCACTTTGGTTACTTCAAGGATGGATCTCGCCACTTGAAAAGAATTTCGAAGCATCTGGGTTGACAACGTTGTTGTGTTGTCGCAAACAACCAGAGATTTGCGCTAAAGAAGAGCCCCAGAAGGAGAGTCCGGTGCGTCTTCACTGGGATCGTGTAAATTCCGACGGAAGAGACATTGTGGGTCTGCCTTCCATTGGATTTGAACCACATTGTGGAGAAGGAATCATATGGGTCTGTATTTAATAGGGAGACATCCAATCAATGGGCTTTGGCATATTTGCCTTCTTCCACGGGCATTGCTGGATTGCCCATGTGTGACTCAAGGATGTTTTTGAAATGGTTTTGAGAAACACTCTTGTTGAGGTGAAGAAATACATGGCAACAGCTGTTTCCCTTTAGGTGTTGTATTAGCTCACATAGCTATTTCTGCTATTTCGGTCACGGCGCCCCTCAGGTACCGAGCTGGTGGACATGCGTGACGCGCCATGGTACACCGAGGATTGGTTCGGCCTAAAGAGCTTAGACGTACAGAGCCTTAGCAGCCAAGAAGAAACAGCTGCAGTTGTTGGGGTGCAGCCTCCATGGAGGGCGACTGGTAACAAGAAGATCTAGCTACTTATAGGGACTACTTTCAACACTACCCTACTACTTAGTGACTCTTTGAACATATTCCTTTCGCCATTGCCATGTGGAGGCATGCCTGCGGTGCACTCTTTGTCTGCAGAGAAGTGACATTAGTGACGGAGATCTCCTAATTCAGGTGGTTGCTGGCAATACACAGAGGATACGTGCAGTAACCACGGGCTTTGCTTTATATTGTGTTTGATGGTTTTTACAAATGTTCCTTCTTCCAGGGGGTCTTTGACAGGTCTCCCTATTTTGATGCAGACTAATTCGCAAGTTTGACCGAGGATGGCTTGGGATTGGTTCGTGAAATTCGGTGTGGAAGAAATTGAGAGACCATCACCCTTTAGACTAGCATGATTCATGATTATGGTTTGATGATGGTTTGATTATGTTTGGTTGCTTGCAAAGGCACATAGGACATTGGAAAATTTGGAAAGGTTTGGGAAGCCTCTTCACTATGTGGTTGACCGACTATGTGGTTCACCAACCTGAGTATGCATTTCCCTTGTTACTACAGACGTGTTGGCACTGCAGTTGCATTTAGGCTACTGGGGGGTGACCCTGAACGATTGAATGGATGGGAACAGTTCCTTCGCCTACCACTTGATGGACAGTTTCTGCACTACCTTGGGAACCCACCTGTGGATGTATGGCCGCTTTTGTTTCGGACTGCGCATGTGGTCCGTCAGTGATGGTTTTTCCATATGTCACACGTCACACGTCCACCCACGAGACTTCTCGAGCTTGGTGGAAGTCCAATTCCAAACTTTGGTGGATAGATCTAAACGTACTAGGTGACGGTTTCAGATTTAGTTTTATGTTGAACCTTTACTTTGGATGATGGCGGATTGAACCCACACTAACTAGTATTGTTCAAGTGCGTTGAAAGCACCAAGCAGTACTAGCTTGCGAGCCTGGTTGACCCTTGAAGCTTGACCTCCCCAGTAGGTCGTCGAGCCTTCTCTTCGTATCGATTGGTGGTGACGCTGGTGACCACATGCAAAAGCAAGTATAGATAGGTGCTAAAAGGGAACCCGGATGAAGTCTCAGAAACTCTTTGCAAAAGACTCAAGTAAGAACCAGATGAAGGAAACTGACACTCTTTGCAAAAGACTCAAGTAATGAGAGATCCCCAGAATTTTCTTTGGACAACCATCTCTGGGGTTTCCACCTCAACTCGACTCAGGAAGAAGATTGACTTTCACTCCACTCCTGGAAACCACCTCCGCTTTAAGAAGGCGGGGCGACGACCGATGAACGACACCCGAGACCGGACTTGAGGGGCGGATTGGGGCGGAAGATCCATTGGGAAAGAGCCAATTGGGTGGGGTCAAACCACCATCTGGAGCAATTGGACCCTGATTTGGGTGGTGGGGTAGGTAGATTGGGTAGGTATACACCTTCCTACCTACCCCATTGGGACCAGGGGTCGTAGATCGATTCCGGAAGGTCGTTGTGAAACATCTGGTAGACAATGGCTTGGCTGCACTTGAATGCACGACTCCTCACCACCCCCTTCTGCCAGACTCCAGGAGTTTTTGCTCGAGATGGTGAAACAGTACTTCGTGAGTGAGTCTTCCATGGTGGTTTGATGCGCGAAATGAATGCCTCCGCTGGGCCACACTCCGCGAAGTCAGCCTCGTCGGCCTCAGCCACACCGCGCGGGTCCTGCGATTTTTGGTCGCGGCCCGCAGCTTCGCTTCGTCTCGTGCGCCAGCGAACGCCTGCGCGCAAGACGTTGATCCAACAGATCGTGGCCAAAACGCTTAAGCCGGATGGGTTGCTTGAGTGCTTTTTTACACTCCAAAAGGAAGATACAAGATGTTGATCGGTTGGCCTCGGCCCAGATTTGACTCAGATACTTATTGTTTTTGCATGTGTTTCATATGTTTTCTGAAGCCAATGCTGCTTGGGAGAGCTGCCACTGGAGACTTGGAGGTCTATGTAGGCCCAATGTAGGCAGTACTTGGAGGCTTGGGATCCACCAGATAAGAAGCCGAAGCCTACCTGCGATAGTCTGTGTGGTGGGGTCTACTTGAGGAAGTTGTGTTTAGGAAATCGACAGTTGCCACATGTTGCAACCATTGCTTTGTGAGGAGGTATTTTGGGAGTGTCCTATTACACCTGTCACAGTCGGTAAATAAATATCACTATTTTAGAGAAAGGCCTACAACTGAACCATCATCATCCACTGTTTCTGTTCATGAGATATATACTGACTTACTAATATATGTATATAGGTACTATTACTTAGTTAAGTTAATTGTCGAGCTTACTTTATATGCTTAACTATCACTTAATTAAGTTAAGCTTGTCTATCATAGATTGTTCTATAAAATTATCTTGTTCTGCGACCGCTGCGGGTCCATATAGTTCTTTCCTCGTAGGACCCGGATGATGGAGGATGGTTCCCGGTGCCTTGGTGGGACATGGTGGGACTCGGTACCGACGGTAGGTACCGTGGTACTTGGTGGCCAAGTACGTGGTACGTGGTGTGTTCTTTAAAAGGCATTGTTTGGGGGCTTCTGAAGAGTTATATACTGTATACATGTTCCTGCTGTAACTATGTCCGACGATGTGACATGGTTCATTGTTATGCAAAAACGCGTGGGTGAAAAACCTCAGGCAATAGATTGTGGGCCTGTGGCCATAGATAAGGTTTGCAGACACACTTCTGTGTCACATTCTTGAAAAAAGAGTACATTCTCGATTGTTGTGGCGTGGTGCCAACCAACCAACCAACCAACCAACCAACCAACCCACCAACCAACCCACCAACCAAGCAACCAGCCAACCAACCAACCAACCAAGCAACCAACCAACCAAGCAACCAACCGACCAACCAACCGACCAACCAACCATTGGTTCCTTGTTGTTGGTGAGTTCCTCTCTAAACACACCAACCTGCCCACCGGGCCCCTTTCAGTTTCAGAGCCAAGCAGCTCAGCTGCAGCACCATTTTTCTCCAGTCGAATCGTCGGCCATGCTTTCTGTGGAAGCTCAGCAACTTAAGGATATGAAGCAAAGGCCTTCTGTATCAGCAACTTATAATATCATCAACTTAAGGATTGAGCCAGAATTTCAACTGATACTATAAATGGTCCAGGCTGCCACCACAGCCTGTCGTTGTCATAGACAGTTAGAGCCTCACATCATCAATGACAAAAGGGAAAGACTCAACCCAGCAACCCTCCATGGGGCTCTCCATTGCTAACAGTAAACTTTCACTTCAGTTTGCTTGGACTAGGGCCAGGGTGATTCGAGGTGTTTTTGCACTCGGGAAGGGTGGTTTGGTGGCCACATCCGAGTTTGCCTCGCGTTGGGGATGTCTAAGGCTTTGACCTGACGTGACAGAGCGTTTCTTTTTGGAGTGTGCACCCACTGTAACCATCTTGGGATAGTGATCCTATTGAATCCTATTGTAAGCATGTAGTCTTGCCGCGACCAAAAAGTCAAAGGACAACAAACGAGCATGTCAGACATGAAGTCTCAATGATTTGGTGTCTAGTGATTTTGGATTTGTTTGTTTTTGGCCACAAACTTGGGTGAAGCAGAAGCATAGTCAAAAGTCCCCCAGTGTTGACAGATATGGTATGGTCAATGTATTGTTTCATATGTGTTTATCCTAGCACTTGTTTGGATGACAAGACTCCCCCAAAGATGAACATACAATCTGAAAAGCACAGACACTGGTAGAGGTTCATTCTTTTTCAGGGATGTGTCTCCAAATGTTCTAAACTTTATGATTTATGTCCTGGCCACTTTGGCTACGTGGCTGCACGTCTGCTTTGCTGCTACTGCGAGGTGGATGCAGTGTCCTTTCTGGATGAGGAGGAGGTGCCAGTTCGCCATGCGAAAAAACCGGGTGCTGTACCACTGGATTCACTGGATTGATGTTTTCTATATCAAGGTCAGCTATGATTAATCTGATTAACCGCTTGCGGATATAGTGGCATCATATGTGTGTCACCAGTGGTGTCTTTGCATCCAGTGATTGTCCCCCTGGTGGCTGTGAATCCACATCCTGCGTGTGCACCAATCTCTCTGTGAGGCGGCCGGTGAGCCTTCTCCCCAAACAGAGGCTTCCGCGCGAACTCAGAGGGCAATGGATTGATGCAAGTTTTTGTGTCGATTTCGAAACCAAAGTGGAATGCCTGGAAGGTTTTTTTTTGTTTTAGACTTTAGACCCTCAAATAGACCAATTCCCACAAAGAAAGGTATTGGACACCGTGCCACTATCTATTTGGGGACCACTACCAATCTGGCTTTCATCCAGGTTGAGGGCGCCCGTGTCAACCATGATCCCTCCTTTGGATCGCACGTGCGTTGGCTTCTCCTCGAGTCCTTTGGATTGGAAAACGGGGCTTTTCCAGCCTACGAGCCAACCCCTCCCCGTGCTCGACTCTGCATCCACCATCCATCCATCCGTAGCCTCACAGGTGAAAGTCCAGGCGATTCGTGTCCCCTAACCTGGCCGTCGCTTCCAGCCACACCCGAACGTTCCAAACTTGGTGATTTTCACGCCAGTGGAAAGATCTTGTTGAAGCTGCTTGAATGGTTTTTTTTGTTTGCCTTTTTTCCGGGAGGTTCGGACATGGTCACCGTATCGTTTCCACTTGGTGGATCAAACGGCGAAAAGCCACTGACCCAGTGGATCTCAGTCGCCAGAAAAGATGAAACTCCAGAGTTAACAATTACATCGGGTTGCTAGGTCTAGGATGTTTAGTCTTTGGGAACTACAGCTTACCTGCTATAGTGGTAACTGGATCCACTGGATAGGTGTAAGTTCCATCACTCGGGGCTATAGAATCTGAGCAAAGCACCTGCCGCATGCATAGTGTAGGTAGGAATCGGAATGGATCGAATGCTCCAACTGGAGCAAAGTTCAACGGGGTATGTCTTGGAATGAAGCGAGTTGTCCAAGCACTGGTCTAGTTTAATGCATATAATTGGTGTTCTTTTGCAACTCCCAAATGTTCCATCTACAGGTAAATGCCACTGTTACCTACCAGCCTACATTCATCATTGAAACCGCCCATGCGGTCGGGTCATATGTGCCATACGATGGAGAGTCATGTATTATAAATTATATGTAATTGGTCACGTGATATCATGTGTATTTTACTACCAGATATCATGTATTTTACTTCTCAGATATTTCATAATGTGGGGATATAATGTGCATGTTACTGTGGATTGGACTTGCATTTCTTCATGAAATCCCCACATGACACCACTACTTTCAGCTTCGGCCAGGCGTCCGCAGCCGATCCGGAGCCCGCAGAGGCCGTCACCGATTGCTGCGATACTTGGGAAGTGTGAGGAGTTACTGGTACCATTTGGTACCTATCAGTTATCCTGCGATATCATGCAATCGATAGACTTCACTAGACTTTGGAAGCCGAGAAGCCGCGTTTTGACAGACGTATATAGTCTCATATTTTTTCACACCACGTTTCTGTTGTTTGTGCTTTTGAATATTCATGTTATACAACGACGTGCGTGAGGGATAATTGTGACTATCCGTGCTATGGTTTGGCGTAAGATTTCCTCAACGAGTTCAGTTTAAGTTTAATAGATTTTAATATGTTAATTATAGCATATAATCAGATATTGTATCCAAATTGCTTTGGCTAGGCTAAAGAAAACCGGACGAACGTGAATATTGGAGGCAAACGGAAGGGTAGTACACAGAAATATGTTGCAAACAACCTATTCTACTAACATCGTGGAAGGCCCGGGACATTCGTGAAACCCGAGGCTATTCGTGGACGTTACGTGGAATGGTGAGCCAGTAGGAAAACTGACTGCAGCAAAAACCCAGAAACCTTCGCAGAACTTCGTGGAAGGTGTTTTTGATGCACGAACTTCGTATAAACCATTTTTGCTGAACCATGCTGAACCCCTTTCTCCACACAACCTCCATTTAGCCTTCAGAAGAGTTCATCGTTCTGCCCAGGGCTGGTCGGCGCCAGCACAGGCGAGGGGGTGGAGATTTGAACTGTCAGCCTTCCGAGCCGGTTTGATCCAAAAGCTCAGTCTGACATCCTGGTCCTCAAGAGTCTACATTACGAGGCATCAGGTGAAACCTTCGTTTGGTCAGCAGCAGCTACCTTTTGGGCCTTCTTACCGGGTCTTTCTGGCTCTGGGCGCGCGGATGCGCGTGACATGTCTCTTCTCTACAGTGGTGGGTCAGCAGCCGTGCAGCCGTCCATCACGTTTGGCATTCCACATCTCTTAGAGGTTGCACGGCCTTGCAGGGCTTTGCCTACCCAGTAAAAGAACCCGTAACTTGTTTGCCTACTCAAAGGGGGAAAAGGGTGAATCTGTAGTGAACTGGGGAAACTGAGAGGGTCACTTGGGAAGATGCTTGGAAAACAAGTTTTCCAGCACTGGACTCCCACCACACGACTCGTTCATTCGCTTCCAGGTAGAGGAAGCCTGGCAAGATTGGACCGCGGCCCCGCCACAAGAAGCGCCAGAAGCGCCGTTCCTGGGCGGAACAATGGATCGGCAGTCAAAAACGGATGGTGAGTCTGGAGGTGATTCTACATTCGATGTGATTCTTGTGATTCTATCTGTTTTGATGCCGCGATATCAGCTGTTTGGTGTACATACCACAAACAGTACCACAAACATATATATCGGGTTTGTCGAATTTCCTGTAACAGTCAGGAACCAATCATTACTATTTTTGACCAAGGCCCTTGGTAACCATCGTCATCATTTTCATCATCATCATCCGCTGTTGCTGGTAATAGGATAACCCCCAAAACATCTGTAACACAGATGGCATTTCACGGCAGCTCCCGTGCTGAAGCTCCCACCTTCAGGCCTTGGGGCGAAGCTGAAGCGGTGGAAGCAGTTGCGGAGGATGCGGAGACGGCAGAGACCGGCGGCAGATGCGGAGACGGGAGAGATGGTCAAAGAAGAGGTGTAGAAGACCTGAGGATTGTTCAATGAAGAGTTGTGGACTTCTTCAAGTACCAACAGAGTTGTTCTTGAACCCTATAGACCATCCCATTGGTACCCCAGGTGACGGGTCCTAGTTCAGGTCACTCAACCTCTTTTGGTAGTTCGGTCAAGTCAAGGCCGTCCGCTACAACCGACCCCGAAAACCACCTTCACCGCGGCAGCGAGGGGCGGTGGCCAGGAGCCCGGGGGGGTGGTTGTTTGGAGAAGACGAATGTCTTGGAATGACACTCCCAATCTCTCAGATGGACCTCGAATGACCACCCGGCTCGTCGGACTGTTGACTGTTTACCACGGCGCCGCGGTACGGTCCGTGGTTGGACCCGGGGTCCATGGGATCGTGAGAAACCGGGGTAGAAAGCCATTCTAGCGAGTGTGTCATGGACCCGGGAGACTGAGATACAAGTGATGCCATACCAGCTTTGAGGGCACTGTGACGTACCACTTCATCCAGAATGGGGAATTTGGGGGGGATTGAGCACAAAGAGGCCCGAACCACAGGATCGACAGGATGCGGTTTAGAGTTGGAAGTTTATTCCATGCTGCCCTTTTCGCAACAAGACCCCCCCCCCGGTGAGTTCCTATTGTACAACACATTCCGGTGTCAGTCCCTCTCTCAGAGTAACAGATTGCAGGATTGTCCTGTGGAAGGGCTAGAGGATTGGCCACTTGGCTAGGGAGAGGGTCGGTGTGTGACACGGGGAGGCTCGCCGTGGGGAGCTGCTACAGCCACTTCACCTCAAGGCTTGCTGTAGTCAATGACTCATGCACCTAGCTGTTAGCTTGAAAGACACAGAATCCACATGTGTTTGAGCTCCTGTTCTCTTCTTGAAGCCATCCACAGTGGTTGATTCAGTTGATTCCGAATGCCGGGAGCAGTATATAGTCAATTTATGTCAATTTGAAAGGCTTGGCCATGCAGCAGGCTGGCTTGGCCTGCAGCAGTATGCTACAGCATAATAGCAACCGGTGAAATGTGGGAACCACAGGTGCCGTCCGAAAGTTGGAGTTGAAAAGACCATCTCCAACACATCCATCGGTACCGTCGGTACCTTCCTATGGATCAAGGCCGAAGTGGAATCCAGCGCCTTGTGGCACTGCCCTTGTGGTTTGGCTCACAGGGTGGAGAAGTAACCCAGAGAGGTCGAGAGACCCGAACTAGGACCCTGTAGTGGCGGTAAATATGGGATGGGCAAAAAAATGACGGGCTGCTCAATCTCTCTTGGTAATTGAGCTTCTACTGCAACGGATGATCAGTGGGTTCCCTGCAGAAGTCTGCCTCTTGCACGGCAGACTCTAAGGCTGCTAAGCATCTCCCTGCACCATTACGGGCCACAGGCGCTGGGGATGGCTGGTCTGGCGTGTGTGACTCATCTTCTTCTCGTTTTGTGCCACATCCCAAGGCTTGTTCCTTAGACTAGCCGAAAGGTGTTATGAATCCCGTTCTGACAACATTGTCCACTCATCAGAAGCGGTTTCTTTGTGCTCAATTTGTCGAGGTACAAACTGAGGCTTAAGGATTCTTGAGCCAAAGCCACTCCAAAGAGCTGAAGATAATTGAGAGCAATTAGATCAACATGAGAAAACAAGAACAGAAACATCTCAGCGGTTTGGTTGCTGTTGTGTGTTTATTGTTTAGTATTGTTTGTGTGCTTTTACAGTATTGAAAAACCTCAAATCTGTGGAATGGTCATGACAACTGTCGCTGTCCGGCTGTTTCAGGCCATGGAATGGTGTGTGGAGATGGGCGCAGCCGGGGCACCCACAAGACAACCGTGAGAAGATTGACACACCATACATGTGCGTGGGGCATTGCAGTTCATTTCTTTTGCGAACAACAGGTCCTGAACAGTGTCCTGAACCTAGCAAGAATACATGTCCAGATTGGATCACCTTTTCCCGTGGCAGGCGCTTCTTGTTGATACGGCGCTTCTAGGCCTTCTAAGGATCGATTGCATGGTTTAAGCTGTACACACAAGGAACAACTCAGGCGTTTTGTTATATACCTGTTGATTTACTTTGTTGGTGTTCTAGCCTGAACTGTTGTTCTTTACCGTATTACCCTGATGCTATTTAGGTGCTATTGGAAACTACGCATGAAAAGTATTATATGGTTTGTTTTTGCATTTGTGTATATCCCTCAGCGTTCTTGTGCGGCCTGGCATTTCATTCTGGATCCAACTATATAAGCAGAAAGAGCAAGCCGCAGACCCTTAAGCAGAACTGTTTCCCTTCGGATGATGTGTAGGAATGTGTTCATGTGTTCAGGGATGTTCAGGGTTTAGAGCGATGCCAGTAGCGACGCCCTCCAGCATTGTTCTACTGCAGGTTTCAATCGAGGAGATCAAAGAGAGTTGGGAGGACTTTGCACAGGCCAGGTGCGGGCCGCTACTGGGACATCCCTGTAGACACCGTCCACAAGCATTTCCAATGCCCGCAAATGGTCCAAATTCAATATCCGATCCCAATCACCCTCAAGTGATCAAGGATGAAACAATTGTGAACACAGAAAAAGCAAACCAAGTCGCTGTTCATCGCTCAGCTGAGCTGCCGGGTGGAATGGAACCTTAACGCGCTTGCGTGAGCCGTCTAGGCAGATTTCTCCGGCAAACTGGCAACCTGGGGAATAGATCATGCAACCTGGGCAAGTCAGCGGACCAGCCCACCAGGTAGGTCAACCAGTCGGGAACTCGAGCAATGTCCGCTCCGAACGCTCCGAAGGCAAAAGACAAAACATGGCAAAACTTCCAGTTATGATTTCCTGATTCCAGTGAAATCATCTAGAATCTAGAGATATTGTTTTGTTGTTGGGAGGATGATGTGTGAAAACTCCACAACTCTTGAACAGCTTCATCATCGATATCGATTGTCTTTACAATGGATCGACCCTATCTAGACATGCATACCATTCAGTTGTTTGCTCCTTTTTGCTCGATATAACCAATTTTTGCTTTGAAGAGAACTTGTGCTCCAAAGAAGGGCGGTACTGAGACGAAACAACCAAAGAACAGCGTTTCCAGCTGACGCCGCTTGCAGGACTTGCGCTTGAAGCCTTTGGAGAAGAATCGCTTGCGGAAGGCGTCGACTATTGATCGATCAAGAACTTGAAATGACCCTACTTTGGATCACTTTTGGCATGATCATGATGCTCAATCCCTGTAGCACCCCATGCCGTGCACGAAGTGATGGTAGAACATGCGCACAAACCAGTAGTGATCAGCCAATCCGATCGCCCGAACCGTCTTGCTTTGTCAGACGACCTCATGTCCGTCCGATCGATCTGTTCAGAAACGAGCTTCTCGTCGACAAACAGAGGACGAACGGTATACCGTCCTTTCATGAAGTGATTCGTTTCTTGGAAGCTACAGCAATCAGTGATCAACGAGCAAAATCTGCTCGACAACACACATGTCCTAAGCATTCCTGAGCTCTTATGACCAGGATGTTCTTGATTCATGGATTGAGGAGCATGTCCGAGCATTTGCAGACACTGGTATTGACACTCAACAGGCTTTTTTGGTTCGGGGGTTTCTCATCCCGGTGGTGTCCAGGTCCGAACGGCCCGGCTGACTGCTTGAACTCACTGCCAGGCTTGCCAATGATTCCATGCGCGAAACATCGATTCAAAAGAGATCCAGTGGAGTTGCTGTTAAGTTATATAATGTTGTATATATATATATATATTTGTTTTTTTACAATTGGGGTATACTATAAGGTTAATTGATGTTAATTGTATTGCATTGGTCATGAAATGTCATTAGTTTTGGATTGTGACAGGTTTGACTGAGTTGATATTAGATGATCATGTATGTCCTGCCTCAGAGCTGGAGCGACATATCTTACATGTATGTACCTTCCAAAGCGTTCACTGCATGGCCTGGGAAGAGATTGCAGACTGATCACTGAGGCATGGGAGAGGGTCATGGACAGAGGCTCCAAAGAGGTTCTTTTGAAGGTCATGGACATTGTGCACATTGATTATTGATTATTTTAGGCTAGGGAAACAGCAACAATTCAACCGGGAAGAACTTGGGCACTGGAGGGGAGCAATGTGCATCAATAAGCTGTGCCGTATCAAGAGCTTCCAAAGAGACAGTGTTTCTGTGTTTGGATTCTTGTTTGGTTGGTTTGAGGAGTTTTGCTTCATCCTCAACCAGTAGAAGACTGCTTTCGAAGAGGAAGGTGCCAAGAACATGTTATTTTATTGAGGGCAGCTGAAAGAGTGTTCAGTAGCAGGAAAGGCATGAGAGAACCTAGAACCCAAGGAATCAGTGAATACTCGTCGTGTTCCCACCGAGAGTTTCATTCAGGAGGACTTCATTTGCCAGAAAACCCAAGAATTTAACTGAACTGAATGGACACCTAAAGCGATTTGTGGTGCAAACCAAATGAGCCGCGTGTCCTCAGTCCCTGGCTGGCGAGCTCTAATTCCTGGCTGGCACCTTGCAAGGTCTAGAGTTTATCCTGCAAGAGAACCTGAGAACCTAGGATGATTATAGGCGTGATTGCTTTGGGGCTGTGATTGGTTTGAGCAAGATATCATTAACATCTTAAAGAGGATCCCTGACACCTTGAACATGATAGGACCCCATTACCTTCATCTCGGTCCGGTGTTGCAACCGGTATTTTCGGCTCCAAACGATGCGTAGCTTGGGCGTTTGTAGACTGCGTGGAAAGCGATGGTGGTGGTACACCTGGGAAAGCTAAGCACTGGTCCAAGCACTGGAGCCTCAGAAGGTAAGAACTGACCCTTCAACTCAACACCTTCAACACCTGAGATGCCTACGTTTTTGTATGTTTTTACGGAACATATTCATCCCCGACTTTTGTGAACTTGGTTGATTCCACACCATATTACACCAAAGCATGGCCAAACCATGCACATGTACAGATTCCTTCAAAATACGATTGGCCACGTATCTGCAGGGTTTCGACTGTGTTCGAAAACCACGTCTGACGAGAGTGTAGTGATGGGGATGATCCGAAGCTCAACTGCTTACGGTGTTTCCTTGATGAAATCTATCAAGCATTGTTCAGTGTAAACACATGGACAAGTTGACTGACTGGATAAGTAGCATGTCTCTTTTTTGCACTTATATTGGATATGATACTCTATTAATCATCATCCGCGAGCTCAACGGTCATGATCAATATCGCCATGCTTGGCTCTAAATCTTCCACCAACTCAACCCCCACCGCCCAGTGCCTCAAATCTAATCACTGGTCTCCACTGAGTCCGGCGCGGCGTAGCGCCAACCTCGCGGGGCGTGGGCGATTCCGTGCCACCTCTCCATGCATGGGTTGTGGGGCGAGCAGCCAGAAGTATGCTGCCGTGAGCTCAACTACATGGGTTCTGGAGCTGTTGGGTGTGAAAGAACTACTGGGGGTGGAGCCTTAAGGGATCAAAAAAGGTGGTTAGTGCATGGTAGTGCTTCATGTCTTAAGCGCATTCTAAGACATATATATATATATATAGAAGTAAACGTTTGATGATGCTGATCCTAGATGTTCATGTTGATGTCTCCCCCAAAGCTCAAAGCTTAAATTGGCCAAAGTAGATGGCTTTGTGGCCAAGACAGGTCATAGCCATAGCCATGGGATCTGGGAACATTCCAGGCTTTGCCGGGGCCAGTTGATCGTTGACGCTTTCAACAGGATGTTTGGGGTGAATTGGGTGACAGGTCCACTCCAGCCAACACAAGATGCTGTCCGCACTTATGACCTGTCCGCACAAGGTTTGCCGAGAAACAGTGGAAAAACTGATGAGACCTTAGGACCTAGGAGAGGAGCTTATGAAATGCTCATGAGGTCATTCTTTGGGTCACAGAGACACCCCCGCGGATGTTGCTCATGGCGGAAAAAAAAAACAAAAAACAGACGGCACAGGGTGCGGTGCAGATGTTGGGTCACACGGTGTTTGTTTCTGGAGTGTTTTGAGCCGAAAGACATTGGTTCAAGCCATGACAGATTCCAGTCCTCAAGTGCAGTCACTTGGTGTGCAAATGTGGGCTGAACTTGCAGCATGTGTATTCGAGGATTGGACGAGGGATGCCCTTTGGCCAAGGAAACAGCTGACTGGAGCGTTTTTGAACACGCATGTATTTGTATGATCTTCAAGAGATATGCCTCAATGACTAGTCTACCAGTCTACTAGTCTAGGACATGTTGATCACGCCCCAGCTATCCATCTATATATATAGAGAAAAGTACAACCTTTGTATATTATATATACAAATGTTCGGAACTATTTGACTATTAAGAAGTATTCCGTTCAGGGACTGACATACGTTGACTTTGTGGTTTGACCTAATTACAGACCTCATGGTTTCCGAGAGCCCAATTGACGACACCAGCATGCTTTTTGGCCACTGAAAAACTAATGTTCAGAGGGGTTGCCATTGAGATCGTAAACCAACCGGGATGCAAACCAAAACCATCAAAACATCTTGGAGCGCCGTTGAAGGTGACCCATGTGCCCCTGCCAGCACCTGGCCTTGTGGTTCCCCTCCCCAGGATGCTCGGTGTATTTGTTCATGTGAAAGTGAGCGACTGTCGTACCCCCAACAGGCTAACTGGTCCTAGGCCCTAGGCACTCTCGTCTTTCCATTTCAACTGCCCACCTTGCAATCTCTCATTCCTTGAGCAACTTGGCTGAGTCTTAGGAGACCTAGGAAAACCTTGGCGGACTCTCATTCTCCTTGGCTGAGAACCTAGGAAGCTGTAGAATTGACCCGAAGACTCCACGGGTCCGTCCGATTCTTATGATTCCACAGCGGTGGTCTCGGGAACCCGAGACCCTCCGATTAGCCTGCAGGGAACTTGCAGGGATCCGCAATTGAGGTGATGTATGAGTATGACCAACCAGACCACACCATGAGCACTTTGTGATCTTGCAACAGGTTGTTTTGTATCCCATCCCAACTTAGTGTTTTGCAGAGTGCACTCTTCCGAATAAAGAATTGTGAGTACTCAACTCAACCGATGAACATGCACTACAGACACTTCGCAAGAGGTTGCTGCGGGAGCAGGTCAACCCTCAGGTTTGTCAAGCTCACGCCACACCTATACCCTGAACACTGAGGTGGGAGTTTCCATATTCTGTTTGCCCATTGGTTGATTTCAACCAAGGAGAAGCCAGAACTTCCATGATTACTGAAACCCAAGTTGCTGTTCAAAGGGCTCCAACCACCTCCTCAGAAGGTAGTTGCCATAAATTGCATGAAGACTGGATCCATGGTGAGCCTGAGGCCCATGACGACCCCACCTCAGCTGGGCTCTCGAGTCATCTCCTTGGGCGAAAGTGAGGACGGTGTTCACCCACGGAAACTATATTACACGTACATTTAGGATCATTTAGGTAGCTTTCAGACAGTCTTTGCTGATTTCAAGTGTCCTACTCTTTCTCCTTTCTCCAGGGGCTGCAGGTTTTGGAATGCTGGATAGGATGCCTCAGTGATTTAGAGTTGTTTTGTGAATGTACTAGGCAGTCTTTCTACGATTTTATCTTCATTCTGGCAGTCCATCATTTGCATTGTTTGTTAACTTTCCTTGGACTGTTAGCCCAAGTGGATGGAGAACCATTTGTTCAACAGCTGTGTTGCACCAGGCTTGATGGATAAATATCATTTTTGAGTATGCCTCAGGAGTGTAGATGTAGACGTCGATCCTTTGTGCTGACTTGAAAATGGATGGCATCTGAATGGATGGGCAGAGGAGTACCCAGAACCTGCCAGAACTTCAAATTTGTTTGAGTGATGTTCCCCCTACACCTCCAACTGCCTGTGATTCCATGTTTGGGAGGTTCAGTGCCTAGGAAGGTCAGTGCCTACCTTCTGTCATGGTCCGCCATGGTCCGTCATGGTGCGCCATCGGATCGACGGTTCTGATCGTCCTTTCCTCGAGGAGCGCGTGATGAGCCCCGTGTTCGTGGAGCCAGTGCAGATGCATTGCACAGGCGTCGTTGAGCCGTTTTGTTGACATTGGTCCGGGTTGGTCCTGGAGGTCATTTGTGCTAGGTTGTTGTGGTCCTGGCTGGGAAGTCTGTATATTTTATTATGCGTTCAGATTTGCTCACCCAATGTAGGTTCACAAGAGACCTTTCCTTATAAAGGAGGGCGACGTGATTGTTCCCAGCAGATGATCAGGCTATTCCATGCAAAGAAACCATTTTGGGCTATTTGGGCCAGCCAACAGATCCACCATGATCCACCTGTTTGGGTCTTTGACACCCAAGACCTCCGTGACCGAAGCCGCGTGCACCGAGGCGATAAGGTGGTGAAGGCCACGGCCAAGTCCACCCGGAGGCTCACGAAGATTGCTGGCCTCGCGCTGTCTCCCGGCATGAAGAACGTCAACGAAAGATGGTGACGACCTGCCCAAAACGAACAGTTCGTAGCAACCGAGAAAACATTAACCTTTAAATGCTGGGTCCCTTTTTCACAGGTACCTGGAACATTAGCCAATTATTTGTTTGGATTTGATTTAAGTTTGATGAACAACATATGTATGCAGCCCCTTTGCTCGAGACTTTGTCCTAGTCGTTTATTCTTCACCAAGATGGGTCAGAAGAAGCCAGAGCGTCGGTGCGGGCTTCATGTCGCTTTGATGCTTGGAGTTTGCCTTCTCTTCAACCACGGCTATTTACTTTGCCAGCAGAGTCTACAGCGCAAAAGCTGTCAGTACCTACACCCACCATGTCCAGAACCGTATCCCAACGCGAGCTACAGGCGATGGCGATATGATTTGTCGGGAAGAGAACTTGAAGAACTACAAGGAGCAAATATCATTCATATTGAGGTCTTTGGCATGGCAACTCCAAGAAATGCAGGCATCCGGGATTCCAGGACATTTGAGTCAGCAGATGAGAAAACTGAACACTAGCGTCAAAGGGCTTGAACACTATGTTGATCAACATCTTGACATTATTGACGAGGATCTCAAGATGGGTATTCAGGACTTGAACAAAACCCAGCGTGATCAGAATGTCACAAAGATGCAAGCAACGCTCTCAAGTGCCAACAATACCCTTGTGGTCGTTTTAGACCACTTGGAGAAGATAAACATGGAAGTGATATCACGTGTTCAGGACATGGAGACCAAGATTGAATGCCTTCAAAACGACTTGCTCAAATCGCAGAAGGAAACAGAAGGACAGCAAAAGGGCTTACAAACCGTTGGAGTTGGTTGTTGCAGTTGTTGCATTGTTGGAGTTGTCGGCCTTGGAGTAGGATTTGCTGCAATTTCTGCAGTCAAAGGTGCCACAGCAATAGTTTTGGGGGTCAGTGCAGGGTCATTGGCCGCTGGTTCAGGATGTGTAGGAATGGCCGGAATCGCGATTCCAAGAAACCGTTGAAGGACCGGACCTAACAGATCGGCAAGAAGCACTGTCAGAGATTGAATCTTCTGTGAAGCAACTGCGGACTGAAATTGATGCGATGAAGGTCGCCGCTACCAATGTCCAAATTCTACGTGTGAGTACACCATGCGACTTTGCAGATGCTTCGGACGAGTGTCACAACTTGGCAGAGCGGCTCAGCAAATTTTGTAGTAGAACTGTGACCAAGTGATTGCAATGTATATACGTGCAAGCACAAGCAGGCATGGATGTGTTTGTGTGCCTTGCCGCAGAGAGGCAGGAAGACTTATAGGGGAAAAAAGGATTAACAATGGAGAAAGGTTGGAAGTGGTGTGGCCATGAGGGTCTTCGGGAGGGTTCACAGTTGATGATTTGAGCTCCACAGTTTCGTTTGGTGGAGGGTAGAAGTCCCTGGGGGACGTCGATGGCCTTCTTAGCTTCACAACATTGTCGGCGAAGAAAGGATTCCTCAGTTTCTGATCACTTCAGAGTCCAGCAAGCCACCTGTTTGGTGCTTGGAACATGGTGTTCCAACAGGCCAGGTGGTCCATATGTGATGTGAGAGTTGCATCATAACTTTTAGGAGCTCAAATAACCAGTTACTTGGAAGCTAAGTAACGCCTCAGAAGGTGAGAACTGACCTTCCCAATCACCCAGCCCAAGCAACCACCTGCTGGCAGGTGGTTGGAACCCGGAGGGCATTTCTAAGAAGCTTGAAACACCCGCATGCCATCATATCTCAGAGAAATTGGTTGATCCGAGGTTCGTGATCATCTTCCTCTTTTCCTTTCTTGGAGCCTCGGCTAGCCGCGGCTGACTGGATCTGGTGATTTCCTTGTGGGATGCACTGGGAACGTTGCGTTGCTGTGCTTTCCTGTGTTATGCTGTGTTTTCCTTTTCGATCTGGCTTTCCTGGGAACAGACCAGAGTTTGAAGGTCAAAGACCCTTGACATCGCTTGACCCTTGGAATTGGTCCCATGGTCCAACGGTCCCCAAAGCACGTCCTTGTTGGTTATTTTCGTGGTTTCCTACAGACATTGGGGTGGACCTGTGGAAGGGATCCCCTTGAGACTTGGGGTACAGCTTGGACTAGCTCAAGTGCGGAGGAGCTTGGACCACTTTGGGATCGGAGCTGGGGGAATTCCGGCCAGGTTCCTTGTTGGTTTTCCTGCAAAGATCGATTCTGATGATACATGTTGATACATATCCTGCCCTACTTGTGAGACCAATGATGACCAACACCTATAGTTTTGCACAAGTTGCCAGATTTCAAGGTGTTTAGGCTATCGCCTTCCTTCCAGTTGTCCTTCTATTAATGGCCCATGTCAGGATGGCCCAGCAATGTCATTGAGGATGAGACGATCCACAAAAAGACTGCAGGGCCAGTGGTTCTTGGTGTCGTCGCTCTGGGGTCCAAGGGTGGGGAAGATGCGGGGAAGACAAGTCGCTTGGGGCCTTGCCGTTTCTCCAGGTGGTGATTTACTGTAGCTCTTGAATTTCACACCAAGCCTCCAAGTCGTTGGGCAGCTGTTGGAACCCTCTCTATTTATGACACTTCCTACCACCACGGATCACTCCAAATTCAGGTTAATGTTTGTTTTCTGGAGTTCGTCCGAAGATCGTGCTGCACGGTTTCGTGGGAGGGAAAGAAGGCCCGGAGGCTGCTCACTTGGGGGGAGTTGCACCTGAACCTCACTTTTTGTTGGAAGTGGGATGAACTCTCGATAGTGCTACCCATGTTTTGGTGTTCATCCCAGTCAGACCAAACCATCCCAACCCATGTTGTTGGCACTTGAATCACTCGCCCTCAAGCTACCAGTAACAAGGGCATCGCTACTAGTAGCTCCTGGCATTACATAGTACAGCAACAAGAAGCTACGAACGTCACAAGGTGCATCGCTACTAGTAGCAGTAGCAAGGACGCTACGAACGTAGAGCTCCTTCGACCTGGACGCTACGAACGGATCAGGTCGATCGGGACGCGCCGGAGACGAGACACGTCGGCCGTGGGCCGTCGGACGGCGAGGATTCTGGCAGTGCTCTTCTTGACCGGGATCCTCATGGTAGCGCTAGAGGATGTGCTGAGACTGGACAAGAGTGCGATCATGTTGGTCCTATCCTCCGTGTGCCGTGGTGAAAGAAGGGAGATGAAGTGGGGGAAATGAGACAGGAAGTGGGTGAAGAAGAGAAAGACGAGTTGGAGTTGGGGATTTCAGACAGGGTCGGATTTGGGACAGGGTGGATTTCTCAATATTTCTCACACACTTTTGGAGGCCCATGTGAGAACAATCCCTCCCACCACCTCACAGAAAAGACCAGGACCGCAAGAAGCGCACACGTGCTTCACACTTCGACATTGGTTTTCAGTTAACTCAATTTCCAGGAAAGTGGCGATGGAACGGAAAGGTGAGAGAGTCAGCTCAATTGTATGGTTTTAACAATCTGTTGACATGTCTGCGGTGGTGAACGTCAGCGCGACTCAGCTGCATGAAAACGCGGCAAAAGAAGGTTTAAGGGAGGTAGCATGCGAACAACCATGAATCAAAAAGCGGAAAAGGAGGGTAACAGCTTGTGAAGCACTCTGCAGGTACATGGTTGAGCGTCCTCAACCACTTCCCTTCCAGTGACCCAGCTTCGTTGGATCAGGTTAGTCACTGGAAGCCTGATCCCCCTGCGATTATCAGTTGGTAGAAAGGACCCTTTGAAACAGGGCTTGACACACACACACACACACATGCGGAACACGCACGGAGGATGTGGACCTATCACGCGGCTTCGCGGCACCCGACGCACTCCTTGGAGGGCCATGAGACCTTCGACCTGGAGCTGGGCAAGGCCGGTTCGACGACGGGCTGGTCGGGGCTCGGCCTTACTCGAAGCCCGACGATTGGGGGATGGCCAGCTGCTCCCAATTCACCCAACAGGTATAGGATGATTCATATTCATGGTGTGCTTGTCATTGTTCCATTTTGTTTCTTTTTTGCTTTGAATTTGTTTGAATCCCGCAACTTGTGAGGTGCTCCAAATGCCTCTGTCTTGGATATGCTGTCCTTTGGCTGAACCCTCCCAATACACCCCACGACGGAGTCACCACTTTCCTTGTTTCTTGCAGGTCCAGTGACTTCTGGTATCAGAATGGAAGCTCTTCACTCCCCGCGTCGACCCCGCAGCGCTTCAGCTCATCCGCTTCCGCTGCCTCGCCATGGGCCGCCACCCACGGACCTCGCCGCCGCGCGGACGCAAGGACCTCGCGGCCACAAGCGTGATGCGCTCGGCGGTGCGCTCGGCAGCTTCGGTGGCCAAGCAGGTGGCGAAATGCACAGAGGCGGGGTGGAGGCGGGCGGGGTATAGGCAGAGGGCAGGGGGTCTAAATGACTCTGCCAGTGACTCTGCTATGATTGATTGCATGGATATAGACAGTAGAGTTTTTTGATAACTATGGATGGACATGTTGAACTCTCCAAACCTTTGAGGTGTCTTTGCTAAAATATCATGCCGCCGCTGATGTGTGAATTTGAGAAGTGAAACCTGTAGTAGATGATGACCAATTACCCTGATTGAATGCCTCAACTTGATTGATTGACGAGGAGTCATCTCAGTGAGGCCAGCGATTCCCAAGTGAGGTGGAGGCGGCAAGAGTTTGTTTAGTTTAGTTCACTCAGTGATTTGGTTATTCCAATCCCTACATGACCTGAACAACAAATCATAGCAGATTGGGGGTCGCTCTCAAGATTGTTGGCCTAGCTAGGTCTTGGACATTGATTTTTGCCTTTGCAACCAGATGGGCATGGCAACTCTTTGATCACGAGTTTGAGCTTTGGTGATTCCAAGGAAAGGCTTGACTTTTCCATACTTTTTCAAAATACCGACATAAGTTCCAAACATGCCAATGGTCTTATTTAGGATGCTTTTCTGCACTTGATCACCCAATGAATATGGTTTTTCTTCCGGCACCTGGGGCTGCCATGCACCCCAGCCCCAACAGGAAGAGCTGGCCGAGCTGCAGCGCCAGTTCCGTGAAGCTGTTGAGTCTCGGAGCACTGCCATCCTCCAGCATTACAAGGATCGGAGACCGATGGGTCACGTGTCACGTGGCGTTTTCGATGCGTGCCGGTTGCGTGGTTGTTGTTTACGTCGTTGCAACGAAGAGGATGAAGATATATAACACCATGAGCTCAAAAAGCCCGTCAGTCCGAGGTTTTTTTGAACATATAATACTGTTGTACTGGGTAAAGGTTCTGGCGAACAGAAAGCAGGACGTCTTGCAGCCGGATGTGAACGAGAAGCTCCTGGAAGAGCTCACTAAGGCCGGGCCAAGGAGTCGGATCGACTTGAAGAGACAGGCAGCTAGCACAGACGACATAGCCTAGGCCTTCTGAGAAGATGTTTGGGGTGGGTGCCAGGAGGGTCCAGTCATACCTTCTGAGGAGGTACTTGGAGGTGTAGCGATACACAGTACAAGATTGCTTAAGATGTTTTTTGAGAATTTCTGGGCCTCTCGGAGTTTGCATCGACATCGAAAATCCGGAAGATATCAACCTGTTGAAAGCTGCGGGACAAAGCTTAGTGTTTTTTGTTTCCCAAGGTGTGTCTCGTTTTTCCATGGTGCGAACGCAACGCGCCGTTGTGTTTTATTCGTTTGCTCCTTGCAGACCACCATGGCAGACCAGACCCGTCTGTGTTTAGGGCGCCCAGTCGAAGAGAACTATAACGACTGACGTCGCTCTGAACTGTTTGTTTTGTGAACTTTGTGTCATGTACTCTTAAAAAAAGAAGACACACACAGCACTTGGTCCACTATGGTCCACTATGGTCCACTATGGTCCACTTGTGTGTGTGTTTTGTTCACACACTGCACTTGTGTCAGTCTTTCAAAACTCTTCGCACTTGCTCCATGACCCCAAACACGTCGGCCCTAACCTTTAAACGAGACCCAAGTGGTACGTAGTCCGTCCGTCCATGTCCGTCCTCCGTCCTCGTCAGGTGTCCGGGGCTCTCAAGCAGCTCAAGGAGACATGTTTCTTCTCAGGAAACAGGATTCTTTTGGACCAAAGGCATTTTAGCTCCAAATCCACTTTTAAACAGGTTTAGGGCTTGATATGTTTTGCTCGAAATCATGCGTTCATTAGTTTTTTGAAGCTCCAAGATATCATTCCAAAACCATTTCTCGGGAGGTGTAGCCACAGTACATACCTATAGATGCACTTGGGAGTTGCTAACATGGTCACTGGCACTGTTGCATGCATGATCCCCATCTCGCTTACGTACATGCATGACTTTCGGATTCAACTCATCGTGGCTCACGTGCTCCCTCTCCCTCCAAACCACCATGACGCACAATGCACCACCATGAGTGTCTTCCTCAAGACCATCTCCCTCAAAAAAGGTGGCTTCATTCAAAAACCGAACCTCGAGGAGGCGGAGCTGCATCGTGGCAAGCTCCTCCGACAGCTGCAGGGCGACCTGGAACGCCTCACCAACGACCTCCGAACGACACCGGGATCCACGCCGGGATCGATGGCGCGGGCAGCCACGGGCACGTCCGGGTGCTTGGAAGGGGGCTGGGTGGGGGGTATTCGGAGCTTGGAAAGAGGTACCTGGAGGTTCAGTGACCAATAAATACATCTACTAATACATCTATGGTTTTGCCAGCTATACCTTCGCATACAACAAAAACATCTATAGCCATGAGTGTATACCTTGAAGCTCCAGATTGAGTCATGCGCCTGTGAACAAGGCCCCCAGTGGAGCTTGGGTGGTGGGTTCATGCAGGAACCACACAGGTGGACTCGAGATCAAACCCAAGCTGGTCCCTCAAAAACCTGAGAAGCATGACCTCATATGACTCCCCCTAAATATGGTACCATCAGGTATACCATCAGGTATACTATCAGGTATACTATCAGGTACCACATGGTACCACATTGAAGCTGTGACAAGATGTTTTGCTCAATATTGCTCAATTGTCTTGGTTTTATCTTGACACATCCAGTGAACGGACATCTATCCCCCACCTTCAGGCATTCTGATCGCCCCAACAGCCACCTCCCGCGCACCTCGCCGCTCCGCGCACCGCCTCAGGACCCGCGCCGGTCCTGGTGCACCTCCCGCGCTTCCGCTTCCGCCGCGGGCCGCGCCCAAGCGCCGTGGGAATCGGACCCTGAAGGACTGAGGTGCCTCGTTTGCAGCGTGAACAGCGAACGCGTAGGGCAGGGGTGGAGCAGTGAGTGATCTTGGCGGAGATCAGTAGATCTCTCGTGAAGAGGTGAATTGGGAGGTGTTGTGTTTTACTTGTTTAGTGTATTCTGGTCGCCATGAGGTGTTCTGTTCTATTTTCCCCAAATTGAACTTGGTGTGTTGTTGTTTTTGTCGAGCGGGGGGGTCGCGTGGGGAAGAGAAGACGGTTTTCCGTTGGGGCATTGATAGTGTTGGTGTGGGAGCAGAGGGGAAGGTGAGCAATTTGTTGTAGGTCAGGGGTTGTCATGGTGTCCTCAGGCTGGACTGTGCTTCGGTGCATCGGATCTAGTTCCTAACGGTCCCTTTTGAGCCTCCAGAGACTTTGCTTGTCTTAGAAATCCCTTGTGAAGCCTCCCAAGTTCGGACGGATTTAGGTTGTTCGGGGGAGTTCATGTTTGTTCATGTATAGACAGATGTGTATTTCTTCATGTTTGAGTCCCCAAGAGGGCGGAAACGAACAGAGATTCCGATGTTGACGATCCGGCCAGGTGAGCTGGGCATGTTAATTCAGACAGGGCGCGTAGTTGGATTTTGCGTGCGAAGTTGGGTGAGGGCCAGGAGATCGCAAGAGATGTGAGTGGGTTCATAGGCCCAACTGTATATATAATTAGTCTGATTTGCGAACAAGCTAGAGGAATTGATATTAGCCTGTTGCCAAGCAACTTTCCAGATTTGAGAGTGGATTGTCTATGCAAGACAATTGATTTTATCCATAGCATTATGAAAGGCGAGCTATTTCAACTGCATTTGGAGCAAATGAACGGGGCCTGGGGCACAATAGCTAAATACATAAGTGCTGCAACTGAGCTGCGAAAGACATTCGAGCTAAGAAGGTGACCATTGGAATGAACCATGGCCGGAGGAGGCAAACTCTTCCGCGAGCCAGATTTCTTTCCGCCTGATTTAGAGTTCGCCACCAACCAATGCCTATTTTGCGGGCAAACGAATCATGCATGTGTTCTTTGGATGGATTTGGCACAATTCCACTCACCAACACGCTAAGTGTGTGGTTTCATTCTATTGACAGCAGCTTGCCATGTGGACCTCCACTAGTTTCTTGCTGACCCATACCAGCGCAGCCTCATCCGTGCAAAGTAGTCTAAGTAGTCAACCCAAGAAAACCATGTTTCAATGTTGTCAAGAAACCAACCTGCTTGCCTTTCTATATATGTATGTTTAAGAGTAATTAACCGTCATTGCTTTCCAGGTTACCATTGACACTGCTTGGCCTTCAGTACATCACACCACGTGGGACTCGCCTCATGCTTCACACCACGTGGGGACTCCAGACCCTCGCAGAATGGCGCCGAAAAAAACCCGCGCTCTTTGGAATGGCACGGAATGCGACATGCGAAAGGACGTGAGGCAGGAGTAAAGAAACAGCCTGCGGTCGCAGACCCCAGGCTAGAACGTCCCAGCAAGAACAGGGTATATTCCCTTCCAGTCATTCCTTCCTGGATGACAGCAATATATTACATACCGTATACCCTTTCCAAGGATGGATTTGGGAAGTATAGGGTCGAGAGGATTCCGGGGGTTCAACAGTTCAACCTCATAGACATAGATTTACCAAGGCAAGCCAGCATCCTAGAACCTCTTAAGTTTTCATATCTGGCCAAACAACTCTTTGGAGTGTCAGGTTTTGATCATCCCCGATGTATGAGCGGAACACGAACCAGACGTCGTCAGGTTTGAAGGATTGACTCCCTGGCAGAACGATCCACGTCCATCGCATCAACAACGCAAATGGGGATACCTCTGCAGAAGGGGACGCTGTGGCGTCATCAGTTGCATGGGGATGCAACTCTGCAGGGGCTCGAGGGAAGCTGTGGACTGGCCAGAGAGGCTGAAGCTATGTGTGTATGGTTGGAATTGTATACATGGAAAGCCAGAAATCACAGAAACACCAAACCAAATGCATACTTTATCCATGTTCACCTCAGGTCGGGGAAGCTTTCACCATGTTTGATTGTTTTGTGTGCGTGTGTGTTTCAAATCAACTATAGAGCTGGAACTGTAGAACTGTCATCTCTGGAGGAGACTTTGGTTGCAAGCTACTGTGTTTCCACTCGCCCAAACCGAACACAGTCAGTTTCGCTCAGCATCAAAACGTGCGCTGCAAAACGTGCGCCCGTGGCATGCGCAGCAAAAAACACGCCTTTTGAAAAGGTCGAAGGAAGCGTTTGAGTTTTGAGTTCTTTGTCGAACTGAGCGCCGCGCGTCTTGACGGTGGTCAGTGACTTGCAGAAATGCCTTGATTTTACGTCGCCATGTTCACCGCACTGGGGAGTTCTATTTCCTTACTTTAAGAACAGCTTGCCTGTTGACGCTATGGCCGAGCATTGCTCGGCACCAGCCCACAAGCATGGGGTGTTTAAGTTGATGTTCCTCGATGCTAAACACTCACAGGCATGGTGTTGAGATTAACTTTCCCATGTCAGGTGCTGTTCAATCCCCCGGGTCTTCAGCGCATGCTCTTGCTGCTCGAACAAAAGCATCAAACCACACACATACCCATGGCATCCCATGGCCTCTTTATTTCGGTAGAAAGACACAGTTAATTTCGAGCTTTTCGATGAAAGAGAAGGGCTGTCGCATCGCTGTCGCATCAGGGATTGGAGGACGTGGGGAAGGTGATCCTATTCCTTCTGCCAGCCATGTGCTTAGTGGAATCCATTGATCACATGCACCTTGGCACCGGTGTCCTACGTGCGTTTGGACGTGTAGAGACGACGTGTTATTTCTTTCTCAGCCAAAAATATATTATATATATATTATATATATATTATAAACAATATTACAATAACAGGGTGTTCGTGATTGTATCAGGGTTTTTCCAACCGGGCAATTTGCTCAGTTCTGGGTTTTGATTGCCGGACGATTTCAGGTTGTCCAGTCACCCTTTTTGACCAACCGATTAGCTGGGTCTCCGATGTGTTTTTTGTGCTGAAGAGTGGTCATTGGATCCTGCTATTGGAGTGTTTGGAAGGGGTGTCACTCGTTTTATTGATGCTCTTTTTGGCGTGTTCTGGATGTAACATGATGTTATGTATTTTTGCACCCACATCAGTGGCGACTTCCTGGCAACTTCGACTCCGTTGCGGACTGGAAGGTTAGTCTTGCGATGCAGGGTAGCCACAGAAACATTTGGAATCTAGAACAATCGGTATGATAGATCACCCATCAACTAATCTCAATTATTTGCACATGTCCACACACATCCATTAGGCAGACAGGATCTGAGTGTAATTGTTGTCACCTGTTGAAGTCATTGGACGTTGAGAAGGGCAGGTGAGGGGTCCTTGGAATTTGGGAAAGGGTTCATGGAGGGATCCTACCACTTGTAGTGACAGTGGAATTGTTAGAGAGTGATATCCGGACAGATGTAAAGGGTAAGTGACTTGAGATTTTAGCAAGTTCCCCGATGGTGAGGTTCTTGGAAATGACCATGCGTAGCCAGCAGTGATGTTTTTGAAGGCCCGCAGATGAATTTTAGTTGATCGAGCCACATGCGCCGCCAACATGTTCAGCGCCTTTGCTTCAGCAACGCCTGAGGAAGGGCTTCGCAGTGGTCACGCGCTTCATAGTGCGATGCACCAGAGAGAAGGCCGCTTTGGTACACGCGCGGGCGCGAAGCGCCAAAATGCATACTGTATGTGTATAATTTGAATGGGGAGATCACGAACCAATGGTTTGTGCGGGTTTGTGATCTATTTTCCTTTTCCCAGGGGGTCTTTGAGAGGTCATACATGTGTGTGGCTATACAGGGAAAGGAGAATGTTTGAAGTTTCCTTTGCTGTCAACTTGTGGGAGGAAGGATTCGGGTGATATCGTTTGTTTCGGCTGCGGATGCTTTGTCACATCAATCAACTGACTGAATTTGAAGCTTGTGGGGATCCGGTACGTGGTATGCGACATTCAGAGATTCCTGAAATGCCTTGGTTGACAGTTCCAAGCCACTGCAAGATGAAGCCATTCATCAATCAAGGGTGCAGTTAGTAGAACAAATTCCCTGGAATAGTCATGGAAGTGGATGGCATGGCCCCTTGGATGACCATTTTCCTCTACACCACATCGCACGGATCTATCCCGCTCTGTTAACCCCCTTGGATAGGTACCGGGTAGGAAACAGAAGTTGACACTGTGTCAATGACATATCTACATCATCACAACGGAAAGGTTTTGAACCAGAGTGTGAAGAAGGACAAGTGAAAAGAACATGCATCTAATTTGAAGCAAAAGTTTTTCATGTCGGCCATGTTTACACAGTGGAAACAAAGAGTCGATTGATTTATTAGCAAGGGGGTGGTTTTCCTCCTAAAGTGTTCCTCTACAAATAACTTTCCTGGAGAACAAGCGATTATTTCAGGGAGTGTACCTATAGTCTGTCGCCCGGTCCATCTCAAGTGTCCGACGACCGAAGCGCAAAGAGGAGACGACCGAAGGCCACAAAATCATCTTCCCTCCACCTTCAAGACTGGTGCTTGGTATAGGACATGAGGGAATGATCAGATTTTTGTTCCTCACCCATTATCACATTTTTATGTTGAATACTTGTCGCCACCACCCTCATTCCTTGCGAAATCCTCCATGTCAGCCGTCTCATTCGAAAATCGGCGGACACCCGCTCCCTCCATCGATCTAAACGCAGCCTGGACGCTTGATGCCCATCGTTTGCGTTTTGGCCTTCTTCTTGAGTTCAGCAGCTCGGCTGAGAAGCCTCTGCAAGCGTCGCACGCTGCCGGAAGACGGTCCTTCCGCATTTCGTTTGGAGAACGATCTACTGGGCGGATTTCAAGTACTGGGTGGGTAGTTTTAGATACGCCCTGGAAGAGACCCACATGGAACCTGAAAACGGTTGGGTTGCAGAGGAAGATCGTTTTTCAGTCTTGTCATTTTCAGGTTCCATCTTAATCTTCGTGGGGGTATTCTCATGTTCATCCTTTACATGGTATTATTGTGCGTATTGAACCCACTGACTAATTTTGTAAGTGAGTTGAGACCACCAACCAGATCTATTCATTTTTGGCAAGGATGTGAAGACTCCGTAGTATGGGTCTCTGGACCTCATAAAACAGTGCTGTATCATGTTCTATTTGATGTGTGTGGTAGTCTTGTGATCTGATCTTTAGAGTGGGGCAATCGAATCGATTGGGTATTACTTGTCTTGGACCTGTTGGGGGTTCCCAATCGAATGCCTTGATGTTGCTGCCCTTTCCTGTGCACGTTGAGCACACCTCGACCAACATCAAGTCGAATGCACATCTGTCGGAGCAACCTGTGGGTTCAGTGAGCATTGTTCTGCCTGTGGGTTCAGTGAGCCTTGCAGTACAGGCTTCAGCGGCACCTGCGCATAATCCAAATGAGACGTATCCAACGAGGCACTCGTTGGCTCCGTCGGACCTTTGGATCGAAGATCGATCGCTCCACCGGGACGGGCGAAGCCAATAAAACCTGAGTCCTTTGGTGGTTTTTGGTCCGATCAACTCCTGAAAATGAGGTCTTTGACCTGTAGGGCAGACAGATGAAACATGGATGCTCTCGGAACAGAGCTTTTGTTCTATTTACTATGATCTACTGGTTTTCCATGAAAAAGAATGAACCATCATGATCAGACCTTGCCGACCTCTGGGGGATCTTTGCGAGGTCATCGACAACTTGACCGCCACCATTGTTTGCATCAAAATCCTTCAGAGAGTGGTGCCACACAACCAGGAGCGGTGCGCTCTGTTCGACCAGGTGATCTCAGTGGCTTCAATTATAAAGGTTCGAATCAAGCAAGCCTGGGTTTCAGCAACCCTGCTTCCATTTGCCATAGTTCCAAATTGGTAGTTCCAGAGTTTTGAGTCAGAACGCCAATCTGCAGGAACGTCCAAGAGTGCAGCTTAGTCACCGGTGCAAGTGGATGCTTCTGAGAATATTGTCACGAGAGATCTGTGTTTGAGTGGCGTCCGTTCCAGAACTGAAAGGTTGAGCCCAAACAGGCTGGAAGTACGATGAAGAGCATGTGCTGGATCATAGATCGGTTCTCATTCTATTGTGAGTGTATAATGTTACTCTGTAATGTACATAGTGGTGAAAACACACCTTTGAAACCAACATGTTGTGGTCTGTAACTCTATGACTAGCCTATGACCCTAACTGTGAGCAGAACAAAAGCCAGGACTGGCGCCATTCCTGTGGAGGCTTGGTGGTCGTCGCAGCCAATGCAGGTGGAGCATGGAGTCCGTTGCTTGGATGAGGGCGAGCAACAAAAACTATCGTAGCGGAGATGATCTTTGTCCAGGGACCCGCCGTTTGGGTATCCATGTTTGTTTGCATGAACATGGATGGCATGACCCCGACCCATTTTCTCCAACCCCTGCCGGGAGTGGACAACCCCTGCCGAACATCACTTCTCGCGTCACTGTTCACTTTGATGCCTTGGATGTTTGTGCTGTTCTGAAAAAGATTGCAAACAGACTGCATGAACAGGGGACACCGTGTTGCAACTTGGAATTGCACGAGGAATTCAACTGAACATGGTGTGAGTCGGCCGTCGGGTCTCGAATGAGTCCAGGGTTGACCGAGCACCCAGCTGATGGCTGTAGAGCACCTTTTGTGTACCAGCTCTACAAAACAGACAGAAAAGAAACAACAGAAACACACATTATAGAAACACTTTATTGTTACGTTCGTAGCAATGGCCTCCACCCTGGTAGCGTTGGCCTCCACCTAATACTGTCGCGTCCTTGTTACTAGGCAATTTGTAGAGCACCTTTTATATGGATCACTCACACGGACAATAGAGGTCATTTGTTGCGACGAACCGTGTTGTTCTTGTCTATTTTTACACGGGTTCTCGGGTGCCGGCACATGCTCATTCCAAGCAATCAGTAGATACATAACTATATTGTTATATAATGTTATATATATAATAATGGAACCCAGTCTGCACACTGACCATGAAGAAAACAATCTTTGACCGATGTTTCTCAGGTTTTTCAGTACTCAGATCATCCTTATTGCGCCTGCCATGTCGGTTTCGCCTCAGGATTGGTGACGTGACGACCACCATGCTTTGGGTGCAGCAGAAGATCTCGACCGCAGGTGACCCGGGCAGCGATGTGGCCGACGGCGAAAAGCTTGGCCATTGAGTATTTGGGTGCACAGGTCCAAAATGAGTTCAATAAAAATACAGGACACCTTTCGGATAGTGAGAGACCCTGAAACTCTCAATCCAAGTGTAATTAAACACCCGCCAAGTTGGTCCCACTGATGGACATGTTGGGGGCTGAAAGTCTGAGCCTCTCCAGTTCTATTGACTTGCTTTTGGGAAGAAGTCTTGTGGTTCAACCAAGCGACCTCGGTCTACCTCGGTCCCTTGTCCTCAGTCTCCAGCGGAGACTGAGGGTACAAGGTCCCTCTTTCTTCATCATGTTGTCGCATCTTTGAATTTGGGGCGGCCGTGACATAGCCTGCATCATTGGGGCGGTTGAAAAGAGGTCAATGTAAAGCATATATATTTCAGTCTCATGGTGTTATGGAGTGTTTGTTTCCGTCTCATTGAGTATTTGGGATAGATGGGTGTGCCAGGCATTGTGGTGTGGCTCTTCTTGCCTTCCTTTGTGGCTGGAGTGGTGCCTCTCTTCGGCATTTGGTGGCAGGCCTGGACTCCGCCGCGCAGGGTTTTCTACAGCTGTGTGGGCAACCGCCTTGGTGGCCTCCAAACATGTGCCATGGGCCACTTTTCTGGGCTCGCGAGATATTAACTGATGTAGCTTGATCACTATAGTTATCCATGTAGCTAAGGGTGTTTTTTGACATGTAAAGATTCAGGTTACACATGATTCGCTGTGTGTCATGAGGGAGAGTTTCAGGTATTCTGGAAAAGACCCTCCGACATCATAGCTTTGGGGCGACGCATGGTCAGAATTGAAGGAGTGGATGGCGTACCATGTGAAGGAGATGGTCTTGTACTTTGTCCCTTGATTCGTTCTACAACCGCTGCCCACTTCCACTTTTTCTCAGTTCCTGATTTGTCCTCCTCCATTTAGTACGTATGGTGGAGGGAAGGGCATCATCTACAAGATCCACTAAGAATAGGAACAATCAACCTGTTTTAAAAGAAGTCAGCATTCAACACCTAGGGCGGGAGGTCAGTATCCACATCGTAGAAGGAGGTACAAACCCTTCTCACACAGGTGACTCAGCTTCAGTATGCTTCAGTGGCTGATGGTTTCCCTTTTAAGGATGGTCTCGTTCCTTTCAACCGCTCACTTGGTCTAACCGCATTGGCTTTAGGTCGCTCCCCCGGTCAACAGGCCTCGCACCGTGCGAAGCACGGGCGAGCCCCGACGTGATGCCGGGCACGCCCTGCCAGGCCAAACGTTGCGCACCGAAACACGAAGGGGAAGCACCGCCGATCAACCCACCAGCCACCAGCCAGAACGAAATGGAAGTGGTGCGGGAGAAGGGCGGGGGGGTCTGTGATTTGGAGAGGTTTCGGAGAGGAACAAAAACACATTTGAAACATCAAAAACGTTTAAAACAAATAGATTCCGAAGTTGAACAAACTTTATTCTAGTCTATATAGTAAAGACAAGCGTCATAGACCGACCCGCCAAAAAGACCTGATTTTCACTGGTATGTAATGGCAAGTCTTCCTTCACCAAGCGAGACTCGCAAAACCAAGCCAGACTGTCAGACTGCTAAACGACCTGGAAAAAGCAGGATGATGATCCCCATAGAATGCCTATAGGAAGGGTGCCGATCAGGTTGGAGGCCATTGCTATTAGGTTGGATGCCATAGAATCCCTACTTTTAGGATTTTCCACGCAGTGCAGAGCATCGGATTACTTTCTTCCTGCTTTCTCTACTGAGGTGGCCAGCAGGAATAGCAAGATTGTGCTCTCAGTGGGCAGCTGGGAGAATTCTGGGGTTGGGTATAAAGTGGGTCGGATCCTCTTCTTGCTAGTAGCATGTGACAGCAATTCATTGCCAGTGATGCCACCTTGGCGATTCATTCAGTGATGCAGTGATACTCTTATTCGGTGATTCCTATAGAGTGATACAGTGATACTCACAAATGATGGACGAACAGTGTACCTCCTCCTGTCAGTGGGTCAGTACAAGCTCGCCCCTTTTTTGCTTCGGCAAACTGTCATCGAGATCCTGCGAGACCGTCTAGTGAAGACTCCCATGGCTTTTGGGCGGTCCTGAACATCCTGTATGATCGGAGCCACGGGCTACCACGGGATTGTTTAATGCCTGGTACTTCTGCCAGTGCCAGGCCTGTTTGGTGGCACTCCGCTCAAAGGACAACATGTGCTTACCAGCAGATCTAGAACGGAACACAGGATATTTGAGTGAAGAGCAACTCCATCAATGTTTCCCCAGCCAGCGTTGGTCCTGCGAATGTACTCAGGCATTCTATGCATCCTTATGGTGCCGGTGGTGAAGATGGCGCGCAGACCGGGGTCGCGGGCAAACCATTTGCGTTTTGCGTTTGCACATGAACCACGTAAGACTACACCAACACGGCCGCAACCCCAACGAAGCAAGGAAGTTGCGTCAGACATGTGTGGGTGTTCTCTAGCAACGGGAGTAGCAACGGGTACAGTACTATACTCCTTTTAAGGATACTTTCCTACTGTACTACAACCGACGACAAGTGCTATGCACAAGGAAGAAGCAAGCTTGATGGTAGCAAGGGCATGCTTCCACAGACCATCATCCTGCACAGAACAAGCCCACATAGTTTGAAGAGCACCTGATATATATACATATAAATATATATGAATTGCAATTTGTGAGCTTTGATTGCCCGGACCACCTCACCATAACATAGACATGTTTGTTTTTTTGTCCAACTCGGTGCTGCGGTTCTGCCAACTCTAGTTTTTTTGGTTGGTTTGTGTCGCTGCTAGCACCAATTTCGCATGACTAGAACACCCTATTTTCAGCTCAACAGCACTATGACTTGTTGGCTGCAGTCTCCAGTTAGACTGCCGACCGCTGACAGACATCAGTGCACGTACCTTTGGATTCCTAATGACCTTTCCGGATTGCGTTAGATTTCAGTCAAGTCAGGTTGTAGATATGTTGCCAAGCTTGGTTCGGTGATAGATTAGATTGGTAGCACCATATGTTTGTAGCTCAAGATGGATGTAATTAGCCTGCTTGTTTGTCCACAAAACATTCCAAATTCTTCAGATAATTCAGCTTCGTTGAGGAGGAATCACTGAAATTTCTTCCACTGAATCTTCCGAAATCCCAAAGGCTGGAAGTTCCTCACTTTTCCTTTTTGTTCCACTGGTGCTCTTCCAGTCCCACACCGGGTTCCCCACGTTCCGACCAACGTGGAGGTCACCGGGTTACCGCCCTACCTCGGAATGATGATGGCCTTGGGTGTTTTCTGGCTGGTGTCACTGGGCGTCCACCCGCGCGTCCGAGCGCCGTCCCAGTGGACACCGCCCCAGCCGCCGCTCGCTTCGCGAAGCGAGCGTGGGAAGGGCAATGGTTGGTTTGGGTGGTAGGAAACACATGGTGGGAGAACTACATAGAAACAACATATATTTATTAATTACTGTACTTGTCCCAACACCCCCTCTTCAGGTGGTTTCCAAAACCCCCAAACTCATGTGTTTTGCATCCAATCACCATTCCGCCTCGGGTGGTGTTGGTCTGTTGAGCTGGATCGGTTTTCGCCCACGGAGGTTCGGAGGCTTTGGGTTCGGAGGGTTCGGCGTCCTGACATCGGAGGAGTTGTTTTTACATGTCTTTACCCTTAAAAGGTCTAAACAGTTGGTTCCAAGGTAGGCAACTCTTCCATACATTATATCGATGGTTAG